CGACACTGGCTTGTCGAGCAGGATTCTGGCCAGCCCCTGCAGACATAAACACACGGGGACAACTAGACTAAATTGTTTTAGCTCACTCTCCTACCTCACTTCTTAGTGACAGACAGGGGCCCATGTTATTTGCCTGTAACATTACTCATAACCACTTTGGGTTTTAAATTAATAACCTGACTCTTGTTTCTAGGCACTGAATGTTTGACTCTTTGTTTCAATGCCCATGTCTTATTTTTTCAAGTTACTTTTATTCTCAATTTTCTTAGGCTGACCTTCATTGTCTTTGGGCTATATTTCAACACTGCTGTGGACAGGTGAAGGTAGTATATTGTTTTGTTTTTTGCTTTTAACCTTCAGTGTAATGTGAAGTTTATTTCCAGGGCTGTCTGCATTCATAAGAACTTGCCCAAGTGTTATGATTAAAATCAGCCAAATAGTTACTGTTTCTGAGGACTGGATCAGCTGGATCTCCTCACTCTTAGCACAGCACCTTAATCACTACACCATACTGACTCTCATAGAGAAGCACATATGCAGGTCAAGAAACTGGAGAAAGCTGAAAAGACTAATGGGATGTGAAGTATTGCTACATAAATTGCTAGTTTAGGAGATTGAAACCTAGAGCATATGGGAAGAAAGTACAATTTACAATAAGTAAAACTCTCTCTCTCTCTCTCTCTCTCTCTCTCTCTCTCTCTCTCTCTCTGTGTGTGTGTGTGTGTGTGTGTGTGTGTGTGTGTGTGTGTGATTTCTGCATTACAAAAACGAAGAGAAGAGGCCACATCAAAATCCTGGATAAATGCTTCATCAAGTTCATACCTGCAGGCAATACTTGTCCAAGTATAACTTCAGATAATTCTTTAGGATCAATTTTTGTCCTCTGCAACAATTCTTTAATGACTACTGAAGCCAATTCATGGGCATGCAGGGTTGACAAGGCACCATTGAAGGATCCTAGATAAAAGATAAAAATCAGAAATAGATGTGTTTTAATATTACTCTATTCCATCTTTCCTTTCATTCTATTCTTCTTTTAAGCATTCTAGGTAACAGATACAGATTACAATTCTAGGAAAATAAACAAATATTATATTTTTATGGGTATACTTGGG